AAAATCGCACCCTATAGCCTCCATGACCCCCTCATCCTGAATCCCAAGCCAAAACCCCTCAAATTTAAGAAGAGCCTCATAAATTGCAGATCTAGGGTTTCTGTCTATATCGCCGGAATTTTTCGGGTTAGTCAAGGGCTTGTCTGGTTTCGAATTATATTATGTGGTTGTTCTTAGAGAGAACAAACACATAATATTGTTTGAGAACCAAGTGAGAAGTCAGTCAAGGTTGAAGCCTAGGTCAGTAAGTTTCTTTCTCGATTTTTTATTGTTTTCATGAGTTTTGGTTTTTGTTAGTTAATTCTTGCTTTTGTTGTTAGTTAGCTTGTTTTCTGTGCTATTTCTGAGTTTTAGTTTGGTTAATTCTAATTTGATTTTCGTTCTATTTCTGTTAGTTTTAATGTTCAAATGTCGGGTTAATTAGTCAAGCGATTAATTGTTAGTTCAATCGGATTTTCTGTTAGTAATTTGTTTGTTTGAGTTCTTCAAGATTGGGGTTCATTAGGTTTAATAGTCTGATTTTGTGTTTTGGATCCATATTTGTTCAAGTAGTTGTGCAGAAGTTAGTTTGTTCAGTAGCTATTCTAAGTAGTCTAAGTAATCAATTTAAGTACTGTTAATGCATGATTTTGATTAAGTAATTGTTCTTTAGTTCTTCGTCTGTTTTCAAGTAATGGTTATGTTTAGTTTGGGGTGATTGGTTATAGCTGATAAGGGTAATTTGGTGAATTGAGACCTAGATCGAAGCTTAATAATTGCAAAGTAGATTCAGGGGTTTTGTTTGGGTTTGGGTAGTAATTTCAGGGGATGCTAAGGGTAGTTTAGGCATGGGAAAAGGGTAGTGTTATTAGAAATAGTAATTTCAGAATTAGTACAAGGTTAGTTTAGGGATTCTAAGGGTAGAAAAATCAGAATAGAACCCCCTAGGACTTTCTAGAAGGGGTTTTAAACTGAAATTCAGTAAACTTAGGGTAGTTACTTGTGTAACAAGTCAAGAAACAAAGGGTAGAAAATAGAATTAAGATAGGGACTAATGGGTAAAGTGAAAATCTGAAATTGGACCCTAAGTTGCCTATAAATAGGCATTCATTTGCCTTGTATAACAAGTTTGGAACCCCAAAAATTTCCCCCAAAAAACCCCTCTTCAAGTTTCAGATCTGAGAATTCAAATCTGAGATCAAAATCTTCTTTCAGTTCTTAGTTAAAACAAAAAATAAAAATGCAACAAAAAATAAACAAAATATAAGCACTGTTACATTGATCTTTGGTTAATTTTGATCAACTCTCTGCTCTGCTGATTGCTGAGGTTCCTCTGAGGTTTAGTGATTGGTTTTTCGAGTGGTTTTGGGTTTATTCAAATTGATTTTGAGTTTCTGTGGGTGTGTTCAAGCTGGTTTTCGAAATTGTTCTTGAATCTGCTGGTTTTTGAAATCATTTCTGGACTGCTGGTGTATTTTCTGAGCTGTGCTAAGCATCAGTGTGCTGCTGCCTATTCTTCTGTTGCTGATCTCCTATTCTTCTGTTGTGATTCAATTCTCAGGTACACATTTTGAAACTGCCTCAATGTAACTTACGAGTTTGTGGAGATGAGTGAAATGCAGCATAGTTCCTGATAATTTTGTGTTATATCTCATGTAATCTCATGAATTTCAGTAGATCATGGTTTGTAATTAAGACTGAACTGTTATTTTGGACTATTTCGGATGGTTTGGACTGTTTCACATTTTAGTATAACAAATGTAGTACAAATAGATTTAACGTAGTTGGAGTTGATTGTTTAAATCTCATTGTAGTCAAGTAGTTTCTAAGTTTCAGCATGTTGATACAAAAAATGATACAATCATATTATTAGTCAGTATGTGTATTGTAAATGTATTTGATTCTGTGATTCAGGTTTCAAATCCTTTTTTTAGTAATCACCTATAGCTTCCATATAAAATCAGGAAACGTGCAAATAGCTGAATTAACAAATTCCCTTGTTAAATTGAATTGTCATTAATGATTGTTTAGGTTGAATTCTCACAACTGAATGGGTTTGAATTTCAGAACGTCTATTGACTGAGTTAAACTATAAGTTGTCAAGGGAATGTGCCTTACTGGGCTCGACTGCCAGGCCCAAACGGCTGTCTGCAATTACACCTTTCAGTCCAGGCCCATAATCGGCCTGCCCTTTGGGCATATCTGATTAACAGTTTTTATGAGGGTTGCTTGCAAGGCCTAACATGATAAGGATCTGTTTTCATGAGGGCACATGGACCCAAGTACAATAATTCTTAAACAATGTCAAAATAGGACTTTTCTTTTATTGATAGAGACGAAGCCCAATAGAAAATCATAACCGTTTTAGGATTGACCTTTAAATAAATGATGAGACGAGCCTCGCCAAATAAAAATATAAATTGCGGGGCCCTCAATAAATGCTATAAAAATACTTAGAATTCGGGTGAACCGTTTAGCGAATTTCACGGTTTCCCCCAAAGATAATAAAAGCGTAGTTGCTTTAGGCGCGTATTTTAATAATATTACCTTCCTGAATGCGGGTGCACATTTATGTGACCCAAATCTAAATCTCAACGAAGTCGAAATGCGTCAAAAGCCACGGGTGCACTGGTGTGACGTGGTTCGAGATACATTTTCACGACGTTGCAATTCTTATTAAAAAGACATAAAATAAAAGCGGATAAAATTAAAAGGCACATAGGTTAGAATATGTTTTAAAATCAGATAAAAGCAAATACAACAGTTGAGCGACCGTGCTAGAACCACGGAATCCGGGAATGCCTAACACCTTCTCCCGGGTCAACAGAATTCCTTACTCGGAGTTCTGGTTCGCGGACTGTTAACAGAGTCATAATTTCCTCGGATCGGGATTCAACCAGTGACTTGGGACACCATTAATCTCCCAAGTGGCGACTCTGAATATCAATAATAAATCCCGTTCCGATTGTCCTTTAATTGAAAAAACTCCTTTACACCCTCACAGGTGTAGGAAAAAGGAGGTGTGACAAAAACGACGTGACTGATGGGACATTTCACTGATCCATCGACCGTTGCAGTGTACGGAGAGGGGAGCCGAGGTCAATTAATCACTTCTCGTCGCTTTGATAAATCTGCTCTCTGAAAAGTGAGGGGCTATCTGTGTACGGGTAAGATCGGCGATAATGTTACCCTGACTTCCTGATAAAAAAATGAGAGGGAAGCATGATTTGACTTAACCTCGAGTAAGGCCGATGGGTTCCTCGTTTCTGAAATCGGAGAAGACGGACTGCACACCCCGGATCGGGCATGACTGAACATCGAATCCGGGCAAAGTGAAGTTCCGGGACTAAGGAAAGAGAGAAACGATTAAGCACGATGAGTAGGGAGCCGTAATATCCGCCCTCAACCGGATATTACGACACAAATCCCGTTCGATAACAACGGAAGATCGCCATTTGCCGAAAAAGAAGAATTTACCTTATTTAGACTTGTACTAGGATTGAAATTCCCCTACTATATAAAGGGGAGAACTTATATATTTTAAACCATTTTTGGATCGCATATCAAAGCAGTAAAGTTCATTTTTGTCTTCTAACTGTTGTTCAAAAGTGTTCTTCAGTTCCCCTATTCTTTAGTTGCAACCGAGCCCGTATCGAGGGCTCGATCGGAGCCAGTCCCAATGTTCAATTCAAAGCCAGACTTAATTATTCCATTGCGTTTGGTTTGATCGTTTTATCACTCTTTAATATAATTATTCGTTGTTCTTATATCATTCGTGTTAAACTAAATCATGTGTCCTTTAAACAGCGAACAAATTTAATTGTTACTCATTTCTAAGGGTAAAAATATATATAGTAGAATTTTTAATAAAAATAGAATTTTGGACAAAGTTACCGGGGTTTATCAAATTCATATTTAGAACTCTAGCTCTGCCGAGGGGTGAGAGATCATATAATCGCGATCCTTTCTGTGAAAAGTTCTGGAAATACTATACTAACCTGAAGCAAAGGTATCTTTTGGGCAGTACAGAATGAATTAGTCTGATCCCAATTCCCATATTAAATTTTCCCCAACCAATTAGGTCTTCGTTAGACATATAGCTTTTCCTTTGTGCATGGAATAATTATTGGTGGGTGATTGGCGATCTTTAATTTCTTAAAAAACTATCAGTTCTTAGCAATGGTTAAATCTAATTTTAAAAAATTCAAGATATCATTCAGTTGGAGAAGCCCTTAAACCAAGAACTACCCCGGCTTCATATATGTAACACACTTTCTTCTTTAGTTTACAACCAAAAAAAAATAAAATATTATTTCATATCAGTTTAACTTTAAACTTCTTATTTATCTTAATGATATGATTTTACGACTACATAAATGTATATGACATTTTTTATATCATAAATTTAAAGAATATTTTTTTTCCACGATTGGGTCAAAGGAAGTAAGAAAATGATGAAATCAACCTCTCTTACAATAATTTTATAATTACTCGATTTACAACATAAATTTGTATTATCTAATTACGCTACCAATATTCAATATTCCAAACAATTACACAATTAACAAAATGCATGCTTCAACCAAAGTGAGTTAAAATATCAATATGTGATTCTTATTAATCTAATTACGTAAAGAAGTCAAACAACAAAATATTATTTGCACAATTGATATCAGTACATTTTCTATATTATTATAAATATTAAGGAGAAATCCAAATTAAGTAGTCTTTTGTACACCGATAAACAAAGTGAAAATCTTAAATTCAGGCCCATCACTATAATTTGAGTTATGCTCTGTTGACGACACTGTATGTATGTCTCTAGATTTCTTTTACCATTTGTTGATTTGTATCACTTTATTTCCTATCTTGCTATTGTTCCAATTGTTATTTTTGCTTTTTTTTTTTTTCTTCATTTTTTTGAGCTTGAAAATAGCCTTTCTAACATATATGTCGCTTTCAAAAACCCACTTTTCTCTCTCTTTATATATATATATATATATAATCACAGAAATAGCTATTTCCCACTCCTTCTCTCTCTTCTCTCTAGGATTGCTTTCTCAACATTCTGATCCAGCTCATAACTGAACATAATCACATTTGCTTTTATGCTTCAACTCCTCTACATTTCATAGCATTCCTTTGTCCATTTGCTCCGATTGATGCCTTTCGATATGTTCATTGTGAGACTTCTAACTCCCTCTATTATTCTTTTTTATTTTTATGTTATTTCTTCAAACAGATTATGAGGTAATGTAAGTGGCAAAATGATGTTGTTACCATGATCCACTGAGATTTAGTTTTTTGTTGATTTTCCAAATTGTGAAATAGGGATCGGAAACTAAGGTTTGGAAAATGTAGGAACCGAGAGCGAGCGAATGAGTAGGGCGGAGTTTACGAGGATGAAGCAAAAGGTAGCTCCAGTACCGCTAGGGACTCTTATCAGTCGTGAACTGCGGACTGACAGTGTGGAGAAGCCTACGGTGAAGTACGGGCAGGCTGGTTTGGCCAAGAAAGGGGAAGATTATTTCTTGGTCAAGCCTGATTGCCAGAGGATTCCGGGGAATACATCCACATCCTTTTCTGTTTTTGCGGTAAACTGAAATTACTTAATCATTCTTCAAATCTGTGATTTGTTTGTGAATTATGATGAAGACAACATTGTTAGTTGTTTGTATGGATTTCTGAGTTTTGGGCTTTTCTTTGGTAGATCCTTGATGGGCATAATGGTATATCAGCTGCAATATTTACGAAAGAGAATTTACTTAACAATGTATTGAGTGCTATTCCTCAAGGACTTGATAGAGAAGAGTGGCTCCAAGCCCTTCCTCGCGCACTAGTTGCTGGTTTTGTGAAAACTGACATAGAGTTTCAGCAAAAAGGCATTTCCCCCAGCTTTCTCTTCAATATGTTCCACTTCTAGTTGTCCCTTTCTTCTCTAAATGTGTCGTTTAACTGTTCTTATAACCAAGTTTGATGTTGTTGACAGGTGAGACATCTGGAACTACTGTTACCTTTGTTGTGATCGATGACTGGACGATTACTGTCGCATCTGTTGGAGATTCTCGGTGCATATTAGACACCCAAGAAGGTGTGGTCTCTTTGTTGACTGTTGACCATCGATTGGAAGAAAACGAAGAGGAACGCCAGCGTGTAACCGCAAGTGGTGGTGAAGTAGGAAGGCTCAATATTTTTGGCGGTAATGAGGTATCAACATTTGAAGAATTTTCTGACTTTTGCTTCTTAATTTTATGAGATTGATGTTCTCTCTGTGAAATTTGATTGGTATATAGGTTGGGCCTCTGCGTTGCTGGCCTGGTGGATTGTGCCTATCAAGGTCAATTGGTGATACAGATGTTGGGGAGTTTATTGTTCCAATACCTCATGTTAAGCAAGTGAAGGTTCATAACCTTAACAAACCAATTTGCCTTCTAATTAAGCTACCATCCCTTTTATACTATAATTTGATTTCTCTTCTTTTGTTAGCTTTCAAATGCTGGGGGAAGGCTTATTATTGCCTCTGATGGTATATGGGATGCTTTATCATCTGATTTGGCAGCACAATCTTGCAGAGGTTTGCCAGCAGATCTCGCTGCGAAGATGGTTGTGAAGGTGTGGATGATTATGAGTAATGTTCATTTATATCTTCTTATATTTATGAGGTTGTCTCTAAATCTGGAGTGGTATATAACACAGGAGGCTCTAAGGTCACGAGGTCTGAAAGATGATACAACCTGTTTGGTTGTTGATATTATTCCTTATGATCATCCTGTCTTGCCTCCAACACCTAGGAAAAAGCAAAATTTGTTCAGTTCATTTATCTATGGGAGGAGATCACAAAATTCAAGATCGAAAAAGCTTTCTACTGTCGGTATTGTGGAGGAATTGTTTGAAGAGGGCTCTGCAATGCTTGCTGAGAGGTAAGGTGTATTTGACTATTTGTTAGTTTTAGTGTCATTCTGCATGTTTGGCAACATGAGAAGTTTCCTACAATTGTTTTAGTGCTTGATTGAATGTGGCAGACACTTGGGTGATTGATGATTACATTTTATTCTGGAAATGGAGCACTGCTGAAAACATGTACTCCGTGAATGATATTAACAAGCGAATCCGGATTTAGTCGGGCCCCAATGTGGGTACCGGACACCGGATGGAAAACCAAAAAAAAAAAAGGTTCTTGTTAAAGGTTCTTAATTAGAACACCATATGTGAATGTACATGCCATAAGAACATGAGAGAAATACCATTTATAAGAGGGAGAAACAATGCATGGGAGCATATATTACTTTTTTCAAGGCTTGGTTATTTTTCTGTTGACTCATCATTTTTCAATTTGATAGCAATTTGCCCGTGCACATGTCACGGATTATGGTCGTATTTCTTACCTTCTTTTGTGACCCTGCAGGCTTGGTAAAGATTTTCCTTTGAACTCTAGCTCTGGGCTCTTCAGATGTGCTATTTGTCAAGTTGATCAGCCAGCAAGTGACGGTTTATCTGTTAACTCCGGCCCTTTCTTCTCACCTGCGTCAAAGCCATGGGAAGGTCCATTCCTGTGTGCAAATTGCCGTAGGAAGAAAGATGCAATGGAAGGCAAAAGGCCTAGTAGAGCTGCACTAACTGCTTGACCTCGTAAATTAGTATATTCTCATATTTTTTGCCTGGCGGGTGAAAATGCTTGGTTCTCAATCTGCAGATGTTGTTGCTGTAGATGCATGTGTGAAATCTAGTGATAAAAGGTGTAGATGTTTGGATTGATTCTCCTTTTTTACTCGGTAATTAGTATTACTAACCAAGAATGGACAGGCTGAAGTAATTGTTTGATTACAAACAGCGTGACTTGAATGTGTCAGTAAAGAATGATATATAATTGTCAAAATATTGTTTACTAATGTATCTCATATTGTGGTTGATCAGTTTCCGAATATCCAGTGTAAAGGTCGATTTGTTCTGTACATTGTCAAATTGATTATCTTGGCGCTTTGATGTTTTGTTTTATGAGACATGGTTATGGTCTTCGATTAGATTTTCCAATTACTTGATTCAATCCATTGAAGTTGAGGGATTTCTCTCTCTATATTTGTCGTTAGTTTAGTTCCTTAGCAATTTTCTCCTATAATTTTATCACTTTTTTTAAAACTCTGTTTTCCTCTGCATTTGGCACTAATATCTTCCTATTATTCTATATCCTTATTTACTAATATATTTTTCATCACTATTTTTTTTTGAAAGATCGGAAAGGAGAAAAAAGAGAATTAAGGTCCAAATTCGTACTTGCACTATTTGAATTTGTATAATTTTGCTCTATTTAACTTTTGGTCTATTCATATCCTTAAAGTTAGCAAATCATCTCATAAATGCCTTGTCATTAGTGGAGCTCTAACGTGTGAATTTTTCGAGAAAAAGTGTAATTTTATCACCCAACTTTTGACTAAGGTTTAAAATTACCTTGAGGGTGGAGCTCCATTAGGGAGTTAAAGGGCAAAAAGGAGACTTTTTCTAACGGCTTGAGTAATACTTCCTCCGGTCTAAAATAAGTGATTTTTTGGATGTTTTCACACAGATTAAGAAATTCACCTTTTAGCATTAATTAGCAATGTAATTAACCATATTAACCTTTACTATCTCACATAAACACTCCTAACACATATTCCAACACTATTTACTCCAAGGACAATGCGGAAAAAAAATAATTAATTCATTATTGAAATCTGGAAAAATCACTTATTTTGGACCACAAAAAAAGGCCAAAAAATCACTTATTTTGGACCGGAGGGAGTATTAGACAAAAAATTTAAAGAAGGAGAAAGTTGTTTCATTTCAAATAGTTTGACCAATTTCCTTTAAATTAATACGATTGCAACCTAACATACCATGGCCAAATAGTGGTGGAAAAATGGTTAAAAGAAATAGTTATCCACCCATATTATCCATTAAAAGATAGGTTGGATAATCAACATTTTAAAAACGGATCAAATATGGATAAGAACCATATTATCCACTTAGAAAATGGATAACCAATGAAATAACCAATTGATAACTAATGGTTTAACTATTACCTTTGTAAAGCCTCAAATTGGGGGTTCTTCAAGGTTTAGGAAACTAGGAATTCTAACAAAAGTGATCTATGATGTTTACACTTCGCTGTACATGTTGCTAAAGGTTAGACGACCTCCATTCACAGCCGTCACCACCAGAGGCGGATCCAGGATTTCAAGAGGATGGGTGCACTATTGTGAAGAGGTGAATCTAGAATTTACATTTGACATGTTTAACTTTAGTCTCTTACCATGAACTCACTACACTTAAAATTATAGGTTCAAAATTATATCTTTTTTAAATTTCTAGTGATTTTCACGTATATATCTATACTTTGTGCCGAAAACAAGACCGTCCGAAGTGAGATTTGAACCGCCATTTTTACTCGTAGAGGTGCACCCAATAATTATTATACAGTCAGACCTCTCTATAACAATATCCTTATATAACAATACTTCTCTATAAAAGCCAAATTTTTCCGGAACCAACTCTCATATTCTAATATAATATATGGTTTTTGTAACAACAATTCGCTATAACATCCAAAAATATCCGGAACAAACGAGGCTGTTATAGAGAGGTTTGACTGTACCATAGGAGTTTTTGGGTATGGGTGCATGCACTTATAATTAAGTAATTTTGAATAAGTATAACATTATTATACATGGTTTAGGATGAGGAGTATGAGTTTACGTAAACCCATACCCCAAGGCCTAGATACGCCCCTTGTCACCACCAAATGGTCTGAACTACACGATAAACTAATGGCTCATAAATCTAAGTTGAAGTGCACTAGGGTCTGGTGGCAGCTGCCTCCTACAAGATGGATAAAGTGTAACACAGATGGAGCATGTAGAGGAAATGATTGTTGGACTTTAAGCCATTGGACTTTAAAGTAGAAGAAGTGTGAATTGGAAATGGAGGGAAATAAAATGGGGGGAAAAATGAAAATTTAAAGAAGTGAACTTTTGTCTTGCACTTTGTCCCTCATTGGTGAGGGACAATCACATTTGTGTGCTTATATATAGAATCACTTCTTAAAGCTCTTAAAAGGAGTTGAAGAGAATGAACCCTCGCGCCGTCGTCGTCGCTCGCTCGGCTCGGCTTGGATTTGTCAAATGATCGATCGATAAGATTATTTTTGAACAAAATTTATTTAATTATTTAATAATTAATTAAATGCCAAATTACTGCTGAAAATAAGCCAAAACCCTGCTGAAGATTCAGAGGGACTCTTTGGCTGCGGTTCAGTCATAACCGCGGTAGAACCGCGACAGGCAGATTCAGAGAGCCTCTCTGACCGCGGTTCTGCCGTAATCGCGGTAGAACCGCGGCAGGCAGCGTATTCTTCTGAAAATGCACCTTTTCTAGACACCTCTTCTGATAATTGCCTATAAATTCTGAGGCAAGGCTCCATTTTCTACACACGAAAAACGCTCCAGAACTTCTTTCTTTCTGAATATACTGCATTCTAATTCGCAGTCTCTCTCTCTCAAAATCGTAAGTGTGATTTTGCTCCGTTCTTTAAGTTCGTTGGTATCCTGCAGTTTGTATTGCCACTGTTGCAGGAAGGTTTATTCCGTTTTATCCTGGGAGGATTTAATCCATTACCTTGGCAACGTGTGAGGGGGTTAAAATTCCTTAAGGACACACAAGCAAATTGTGGACTCGAAATATTTCTTAAACTCTTCTGTTTTTCCAGTTTCTTTTATTTTTCTAACAGTTTTTCTGATTTTGTGTTTTAACACAGTAGCGCTCACAAGCTTAAGGAATTTTGTACTAACGTTTCTGTGTTGAAATATATATTAAACTGTTATTCTTATTTTGTATACTGTTTTGGAGACTAAAGCCTTCGCGCTTTCTACTCCGATAATTGTTCTGTCCGGTTTAAAGTATATAAAAACTTTACCGGAATAATAAAACGTACGGGCTGTCCGGTTTAAAGTATATAAAAACTTTACCGGAATAATAAACGTACGGGTTTGAAGTATATAAAAACTTCACCATTGTTACGTGTTGTATGTTTGGTTTGGTATTCAGTTTGAAGATATCAAAACTTCATTGATTTAACAAAGTTCTGTTGTGTTTCCAACTCAACAGAAAAGATGACGAACGAAAACCAAACTGATGGAAATGTTATGGGAACGGGAGCTACTGTTACGAGTGCTGCTGCCTCGTCAAGCCGTTCTACTCCTGCTAATGCAATGGCACCAGCAGAAAAACCCGAAAAGTTTTCCGGTATTGACTTCAAACGTTGGCTAATGAAGATGCTCTTCTATCTTACTACGTTGAGTTTGCAACGTTTCATCAAGGAGGATCCTCCGGTCTTGGCAGAAAGTACTTCGGATGATGGACGACTTGTTGTAACTGAAGCATGGAAACATTCTGATTTCTTGCGCAAAAACTACATTTTGAGTTGTTTGGAAGATGGCTTGTACAATATCTATAGTGTCAGAAACTTCAAAAGCATTATGGAATGCGCTTCAGAGCTTCTTATGCTTATTGTATTAGAGATGGAGTGGGTGATCTACTATATGCACAGACATATGAGATTGAAAATGCAACTAATAACATTGCAGAAGCCACAACTATTCTGGAGGTTCTAAGGTACATTGTGCAATATCAGTCACCTCCTTGTATCATTGAAACTGATTCTATGCTGATGAAACAAATCTTAAATGAAGTGTGGGAGCCTCCATGGAATATTGTAATACTGATAGAGGAGATTAAAATGCTCATGACTGTGTGTACAGTTGCAGTGACTCATGTTCTTAGGGAAGAAAATAACTTAGCCGATCATCTTGCTAACCTAACGTTAGAACACCAAGAAACTGTACAGATAAATTCTTTTATGAAGCTGAATACTGAAGGAAGGAAGATCTTAAATAGTGACAAATCACAGATACCCTACATTAGGGAAAAAACAACAAAGCCGAACTCTACATGATGATGTACGGATGATATGATATTGATGTTGGAAGTTTGGGTAGTAGGGAGAAGGGTGAAGATATGTTGTGGAGGAGTCGTGAAAGCCACAGGAGAAGGAGTATACATATCTCTTCCTGCTCAAATCCTTACAGAGGAGAGTGGGAAGACACCTTTTACTAACATAGTATTTTGTTTTGTAGGTAAATTGTTGAGGACTGTAACCTACGCATTGGCCAAATCTACAAGGGTGGTAGTAATGTCTTTGATGCTCATTCCTTTTAGATGCAACCAATGTATAGGACAGTCCAATTATGTGATAAAAGGTCCAAGAATGCATTTGACCATGCAATCATATGCTTAAGGAAGAGGGAATTTGAACATGAATAACTCGCTACAGGACATGAGAAGCGAGCTTTACAGCCTACTTCATCATGTTGCACTCCTGGCGATGCCAAGGCTGTCGCCCGCTCCTTCTTACCACTAAGCTTTGCGCTCCTACCACCTCGCGTTATGCCTCACAACACTTAGCCTATCGCATGATCCCAGGACTGCAGAAGTGAGCCCAGGCGCCTGCCTCCCCACGCAGCACTCCTGGCGACGCCAAGTCTAATGCCAGCTTCTTCTCGCCTTTCACCAGGCCGCGTGCACCATCCACTTTTGCATCGTACAGTTCCATACTAGGGCTGTAGAGAGATCATGCACGCCTCAAACCTCATGGCGCCATGGAAGTCCAACTCAAACAAGATATGTACTAGGGGCGGACCCACGTAGGTTCAAAGGGCTTCAATTGAACCCGCTTCGTAAATATATTTTACTATTTTTATGTGGAATTTTTTTTCGAAGAAACAAACTCCTATAAAAGTAAAGCAGTTGAACCCCTTAACCAAAGTTTTGCGGTGGTCAGATAGTTCAAGCAGGGTCAACTATCCAAATGGTCGCGTGTTGGAACCCAATCTCCAACACTACTAGGTTTTTCTTCACTTTTTCAAAATGCAGACAGCTTATCTGTCCTTGTATTCGGGAAAATTATATTTTA